TTGCTCTCCCCACTCGAGCTCGCGTCTGCTACCTGACACACCTCGCCCCCCCCCCCCACACCGTTGCTCAACACCAATCAACACAGAGTATGGCGAGTTTTACCACTGCCGCGGAAAGAAGTTCACCGACTTCAACGAGATTCGGCGGGAGATTGAGGCGGAGACCGACCGCGTCACAGGCACCAACAAGGGCATCTCCAACCTCCCCATCAACCTCCGCGTCTACTCCCCGCACGGTCCGCACCTTGGTTTGCTTCGGGTGCAATCGTGCGCACAAACGCGCTCACACTATGCAAGCACTCAAGTGTGCAACCACACACACACACACACACACGCACGCACACACACACACACACACACAAACCCACGCACACATACTCATAGTGTCACCTGTTGTTCCTCACTGCTTGTTGCTCACGCACCTGCAGTGCTGAACCTGACACTGGTTGACCTGCCTGGTCTGACCAAGGTCCCTGTTGGCGACCAACCCAAGGACATTGAGATGCTCATCCGAAACATGCTCATGGAGGTGTGTTGCATGAGGCTGAGCGCCGGTCTTGTGGGCTGTGGGCCAGTGCATCCACCATGCCCGCCCATACAACAACTCACCTTTACTGTGCTGTACTGCCTGTCTCGCCGCCCCACCTTCTCACCCCAATCCCATCACCAACCACCGACCATCATCAACCATCACCAACCATCATCACCAACCACCACCAACCACCACCAACCACCATCATCAACCACCATCACCAGTTTATCACAAAGGACAACTGCATCATCCTGGCCGTCAGCCCCGCCAACGCCGATCTTGCAAACTCGGACGCCCTCAAGATTGCAAAGGAGGTCGACCCAGAGGTAAGCCGTGTGTACACGTGTGTGTGTGTGTGTGTGTGTGTGTGTGTGTGTGTGTTTCGTGGGTGATTAATAGTGTGTGCGCTTCATTCATTCGTTGCATGTGCCACGTAACGGTCACCACCACACCCCACCACACACCACCATACACCACCGCTCGCAACACTCCCATATCCCACACCCCGCTCCCCAACAAATCGCAACTCCAGGGCATCCGGACAATTGGCGTGCTCACGAAGCTTGACCTGATGGACGAGGGCACAGATGCACGCGAAATTCTCCTCAACAAGACCCTCCCGCTCCGCCGCGGTTACATTGGCGTGGTGCGCAGACATTCAAGGCCATGTTGATGTGTGCGTGTGTGTGTGTGTGTATGTGTGCGTATGTGTGTGTGTTGGGGGGGGGGGGGGTAAGTGTGTGGGGAGGGGTGTGTGCATGAATTGAATTGGGTGTAAGGGGATGTTCAAGCGGCCGTTCATGCGCTGCGACTCCCCACGAAAGCGCACACACACACACGCCACACACACACACACACACACACACACACACACACACACACACACACACACACACACACACACACACACACACACACACACACACACACACACACACACACACACGCCATCACCACCACTTGCTGCAGGTGAACCGGAGCCAAAAGGACATTATGGGGAACAAGGACATTCGCGCTGCGCTGGAGGCCGAGCGCAAGTTCTTCCTCTCCCACCCGGCATACAAGGACCTCGCCTCCAAGAACGTCAGGGCACACCTGTTGTGCTTTTGTGTTGTCAGCTTGATGTAGTTCCTCCTCTGTGCCCATGATGTATCACGCACACACGCACACACATGCACGCATATCCGTGCACCCTTTGCATTGATTCATACCATGAACGCACACACACACACACACACATTCCACATTCCACCACGCCCCACGCATCATCCATCACAGGGCACGCCGTACCTGCAGCGGGCGCTGAACCAGCAGCTGACGAACCACATCCGAGAGACACTGCCGGACCTCAAGGTGAAGCTGCAGAAGCAGGTGCTCTCGCTCGAGCAGCAGGTCAAGGAGCTCGAATCCTACGACACCCGAGGTGCAGCACACCAGCAGACGGGGGAGAAGGGGAAGGAGACGTGATGCGCTTCGGGTTGTGTGTGTGTGTGTGTGTGTGTGTGTGTGTCGTCTGCCCTTCAACCACCACGTGCGCTTGTTTGATTCTCCTCTTTGCACCGTCTGCTGACACGTTCTCGTCCCACTGCTTGGCAGATGCCAAGGCATCGACCAAGACGATGGTGCAGCTCATCAACAACTTCGCCAACAGCTTCGAGCGCCGCATCGAGGTTCGTGCATTTCACATCGCTTCTTATGTCTGTGTGCACGTGTGCGTGAGTGGTTTGTACGCGCGTGTGTGTTTGTGTGTGTTTGAATACGTGCCCTTGTGTGTGCGTGCCTTTCGTGTTGAGCATGTGTGCTCATGTGTGCTGTGGCGGGTGGCGTTGTCAGGGTTCGCGGGAGGTGAATGTGGAGGAGCTGAGCGGCGGTGCACGCATTGCACACGTGTTCCACGACCGCTTCCCCTTTGAGCTCGCAAAGATGAAGATTGAGGAGCGCGCACTCCGCCGCGAAATCTCATACGCAATCAAGAACATCAGAGGTGCGCAAACGTGCTTAAATTCACATGCATTCCACTTGTCTTGTCATTCGTTTGTGTGCAAGTCGACTGCTGCCCACCTTTCCCTGAGCAGTGTTCCTCCGTTGACCAAATCCTTCCCTTAATCCTTCCCTCCGCTTTGGCCCCCTTGTATCTCCCATCTTCTTTCCTCCCCCCATGCTCCCCACGTATCCCTCACCCCCCCCCCCTCTTCGCTCAACATCCTAAAAATCACTTTATCACCCCAGGTATCCGCGTTGGGCTGTTCACGCCTGACCAGGCGTTTGAGGTGGTGACGCGGCGGCTGATTGAGCAGCTGCGCGAGCCGTGCATGAAGTGCGTGGAGATGGTTGGCAGCGAGCTCCTCAACGTCGTCAAGGGCATTGCAGAGGACATGGGCCGCTTCCCTGTGTACGTCACGCACACACACACATGCAATGCAATGCAATGCCGTGTGTGTGTGTGTGTGTGTGTGTGTGTGTGTGTGTGTGTGTGTGGTACTTGTGAGTGTGTGTGTGTGTGTGTGTGTGTGGTACTTGTGAGAGAGAGAGTGTGTGTGTGTGTTTGTGTGGTACTTGTGCTTCTGCGTGATGCGTTCTGAATGGATTGCGGGTACGTCCGCTCTTGATAACCACAATACCCACGCATCAACCACGTCTGTGCAGGCTTCGCGACGAGTGCGAGACGCTTGTCGGAACGGAGATCCGCGAGTGCGAGCGGCAGGCGCAGGACCACGCCATGCGCATGGTGGACATTGAGCTCTCGTACATGAACACCAACCACCCAGACTTTATCGGGTTTGCCAAGGCGTCGTCCGCCGCTGCCAGGAAGGAGCGCGCTGGCGCCACCAACTCTTCCGGTGGCGACCAGGTCTGGCGTGAGGGAAAAGTGAGGCTGGGTGAAGGGGGAGAAGGGATGGAAAGTGGGAGGGTGGAGGGGCGAGGCAGTTAATGGGTTTATGTCTGTGTATGTTTGTGCTGTGTTGTGCAATAGACTTTGTTTGTTTGTTTGTTTGTTTGTTTGTTTGTTTGTGTGTGTGTGTGTGTGTGTGTGTGTGTGTGCGTGTGCGTGTGTTTGTTTGATTGGTTTTTGTGTGGTGTGTGCGTGTGTGTGTGTTTGTTTGATTGTTTTTTTGTGTGGGTGTGGGTGTGGGTGTGGGTGTGTTGAGCGTAATTTTGACTTTGGCATTGTGCTTCGTTCAATATACTTGCCTGATTCACCATGACATGCACACCCTAACCCTGACAATTCTCCCCACTTCTCCTTCCTCCCCTGCTGCACCCATCAGGTGATCCGCAAAGGGTACCTGACCATCTCTGGTGGGGGCGCGTTTGCCCGCAGCCGGGCGTCGTTCTTCGTGCTGACCACGGAATCGCTCGTGTGGTACAAGGACGAGGAGATGAAGGAGCAGCGGTACAACCTGAGCCTCGAGGGCGTGCGCATCCTCAACATTGAGGAGGGTGGCTCGTTCCTCAACCGTCGCAAGAACACATTCCAGCTCTTCCACCCAGACAAGAAGTACCTCTTCAAGAACCACGAGCGCCTGGAGCTCACGGCCGACACGCGCGAGGCCATGGAGTCGTGGCAGGCGTCGTTCCTGCGTGCGGGCGTGTATCCGTCCAAGGACGAAACGGGCGACGACCAGGGCCCGACGCAGGAGGAGCAGGACCCCGTGCTTGAGCGGCAGATTGAGACCATCCGCAACCTCGTCGACTCGTACATGTCCATCGTCATGAAGACACTCAGGGACCAGGTGCGGTGTTTGGTGTGTTGTGCTGTGTGTATGCGCGTGTTGTGTGTGTATGTGTGTGTGTGTGTGTGTGTATGCGCGTGTTGTGTGTATGTGTGTTGTGTTGTGCATGTTGTGTGTATGCGTGTGTGTGTTGTGTGTATGCGTGTGTATATGTGTGTGTGTGTTGTGTTGTGTGTATGCGTGTGGGTACGCCGTGCTAGTGCTGCCATCATTCTCATCACCCTCAAATCACGCCCTCGCTCAAACAACAACAACTCCCCGTTTTTCCTTTCCTTTCCGCGTGTGCAGGTTCCGAAGGTGTGCATGTTCATGATGGTGAACAAGGCGAAGGAATTCATCTCGAGCGAGCTGATGGCGCACCTCTACCGCAGCAGCGCCGAGACCCTCATGCAGGAGAACCCGGAGGAGAAGGCCCGACGCGACGAGATTCTGCGCATGTACGAGACGAGCAAGGAGGCCCTGCGCATCATTGGCGACATCAACATGTCCACCCACTCCGAGGCCCCGCCACCGCCCATCCCGTCCAGCGCTCCCGTGAGTTGCCACATGCGTTGTGTGTGTGTGTGTGTGTGTGTGTGTGTGTGTGTGTGTGTGTGTGCGTGTGTACATGTGTGTGTGCATGTGTGTGCTGTAGTTTGCATCACTTTCTTGGTGTGCACGTCTTGCTTTGAGCTCCTTCCTTGCAAGAGCTGCTGCTATCGCATATTTGCTTTCTGCACGTCCTCATGTTCACCGCACTTGACCTTTCTCTCGTGTGCCAGTCCGTGACGCCTTCCCGCCCGCCCCCTGCTCATGTGAGTTTTTTTTTTTTTTTTTCAAAGGCCTTCGCGACTGCATTGTTCTCTGCTTGCCTGCTCAATCACATGCGCAGCCATCCTTCACCATAACTCCCCATCGCCTTCCCCGCATCCACGACCACCACTCTTCTTCCCCTTAAACCTTATCCCTCACATGCAACCAACCATTCAACCAACCAACCATGTGACCATCAGGGTGCCAGCAGCGGCGGCGATGCCAACGGCGGTGCGCGTCGTCCTCCGCCGCGTGTCCCGAGCAAGCCCGCACCGGCCCCGCGCGCCCCACCCCGCCCCTCATCAGGTGCTCACATGGTGGTGTGTGTGTGTGTGTGTGTGTGTGTGTGTGTGTGTGTGTGTGTGTGTGTGTGTGTGTGTGTGTGTGTGTGTGTGTGTGTGTGTGTGTGTGTGTGTCGCTTGTTTTGTCGATACGCCAACGCCTTGCTTCTGCCCCCTCCGGCTTTGGTGTGTATCACCTCGCCCATTCGCTTGCAAACAAGCCCTCACCCGCCTTCTGTCTCCCCGATCTCTCGTTGTCACTGCAGAGAGCAAGGCCGCTCGCCCTGTTCCCCCGCGTCCCGTTGTCCCCGGTCGTCCACAGGTCCCAAACCGCCCCTGAGATGACGCCCATGACGCACATACGAACAAACACACAAACGCACACACACACGCACACACACACACACACTGGCACACTACCGCTGTTGTTGTTGTTGTTGACGTTTGCCCGCTGTTCTCTTTCTTTGCTTTGTCTTTGCTGACTGTATGGGCGTACTGTAACCGCTTGCCGCGTGTGCGCGTGTGCGCGTGTGAGGGATGCGTTGCAAGTTGCTGCTGCCTGTCGAGTTGTCGTCTCTGCCGCTGGTTCTGCAGGGGCAAGGATTGATACCCTCCTTCTCCTCCTACGTTCACTTGCTGCACCACCACCATCACCACGGAGTTTGTTTCGTTGCTTCATTTTCTGTTTGCCTTCCCTCATGTGTCTTCTCGCTTGTTGCTTCGAGCACCCACACGTGGGTGCGTGTGTCTCGCACGTCACATGTTCGCCTTTGTCGCCTGACTGTGCTTTTCTTGGATGTTCTGCATTTGTAGTTGCCGTTTCCATTACAAAAGCCATGTGAAAACTGAGCCTTCATTTAGTGTAATGCATTGCACTGTCGATGAGCAGTGCCTTATCCTAGCTGCACAAACACACCCAATGCCCAGCATGTGTGATTTAAGACACACAGCAACGACCAGACAACGCACTCACACGCACGCACGCACACGCACACACTCACACACACACACACAGACTCGTTCACACAGACTCGCTCACACACTCACCCACACACACACACACACTCTCTCTCTCTCTCACACACACTCTCACTCATACACCCACACTCACACCCACACACTCACACACGAGACGTTCATCTGGTTGCTGAAGTGTCTGTGAACGGTGCAAATCCTTCCGTCGTCGCCTCGTGCTGGTGTGCAATGAGCTGTGCAAACTGGCCATTGCGCTGCATCAGCTGCGTAAACGTGCCCTGCTCAACAATCCCTCCCTCGTCCACCACAGCGATGGTGTCTGCGTTGAGGATGGTGGAGAGGCGGTGCGCAATCACCACCGCCGTCCGCCCGCGCGTGGCGTTGACGAGCGCCTTGTGCACGCCGGCCTCGCTGGTTGCGTCCAGTGCCGATGTTGCCTCGTCCAAGATGAGCAGCTGCGGGTTGCGGACGAGGGCGCGGGCAATGGCGATGCGCTGCTTCTGGCCGCCGCTCAGCGACACCCCACGCTCGCCAACCTCCGTTTCAAACCTGGTGATGGATGTGGAGCGGGTGATGGGGGGGGGGGAAGGTAAGCAAGGAGGTGTGACGGGTGATGATGAAATCAAGGCGTGGCAAACAGGTCAGCAGAATACACATCAAGCAGACACGAGGGTTCCAAGCGACAGGGTCACACACACATGCACATGCACATGCACATGCACATGCGTTTACACATATGCACACATACACATGCACATGCACATGCGTTTACACATACGCACACACACATGCACACACACACACACAAATGCACACATGCACACACACAACGCAAATGTACAGAGCACTCAGTCTCACCCGTTGGGCAGGGCGTGGATAAAGTCGAGGGCATTTGCGCGTTCTGCCGCATCTTCAATCTGCTGCTGCGTTGCATCAGGGCACCCGTATGCAATGTTTTCGCGAAGCGTTGCGGAGAACAAGGCCGGCTCCTGTGGGACCACGCCCACACACGCGCGCAGACCGCCAACATCGATGGTGCGAATGTCCTGCCCATCGAGGGTGATGGCGCCGTGGTCGACGTGGTACAGGCGCGTTAGAAGACGGGCAACGGTGGACTTGCCGCTGCCGCTCGCGCCCACGAGTGCAACTGTCTCACCGCGGTGGATGGTGAGGTTGAAGTCGGTCAGAACAGGGACGGTGGGGCGTGACGGGTACGCAAAGTGCACGTTGCTGAACTGAATGCGGTCCGTGAATCGAATGGGCTTGAACTGCGAGGAGAGCGTGGATGTGTCATCGACGCTGGCGTCCAGCAGTTGAAACAGCTTCTGCGATGCACCCAGGCTCCGCATGAAGTCCGCGCCAACATTCGACAGCGAGCCAGCATGCACGCCAAGATACACGCTGCACGTGTGTGTGTGTCAATGTGCGTGTGTGTGTGAATGTGTGTGTATTTGCGTTTGTGAGACCGAACGGGAGGCAACGAGAATATATTTCTAACACCGACGAGGAGGATAAAGCAGGGAGAGCAGCAGTCTTGACTTGCGCCTCACCTGTACATGAGGAACGACGTGAGATCGCCAGCGGTGATTGCGCCTTCTGTAACGAGCTGCGACCCGTACGCCATCACCGCGATGAGGCCCACATTCGCACCTGTTGGACAACCCGTGCACGACGCAGGCAGGGGTGGGGCTTTGGCTGAGATGTGTAATGTGCGATGGCAGAGAGCGCGGGTACAACAAGCTGGAATAGGACGCAGCGAGAGGTTGTGCACGCACACAATTTGCACACACACACACACACACAATACACGCATACACAAAACAGAGGATGCACTGACCGAGGAAGATGCTTGAGTCCATGAGAGACTGAAGAAGTCCGACTTTGATGCCGTCTCGCTTCACGGCGGACACGCGCTCACCGTACCTGATATGGTGTGTGTGTATGTGTGGGTGTGTGTGTGTGTCACAGAAGTAGCAAAGCAAGTCCAGCACTACATGGCATCACACGGCAAGCCGCACCACCAACACAGCATGAGCACGTGGACAAACCTGCTGATTTCGTGCCTCTCCGATGCAAATTCACGGACAACCCTGATGTTTGCGAGCACCTCTGTTGCCAGCGCGGTCGAGTCTGCCAACTTCTGCTGCACCTGCTCCTGCCGCCGCTTCATGCGCCTGACAATCCCTCACGCGGTGGTGTTGAAGACATGAACGAAAGAGGGAATGAACAAATGGAAGGAAACAGGCAGCAGGGGTGCGTGTGGACGTGTGTGCGCTTGCATGGACTGTGCGCTTGCATGCTCGGATGACAGGTACAGGCGTCGAAGCACACTTCATGTGTCTCTGTGTCCTTTGCATTCATCGCAACATTGCGACGCGCTGTTCGCTCACCGCCCAAGGTAGACGGCTGTGCCGGCGAGTGGAGGAAGGGCGATGAGTGCGAGGCCCAGGAGCTGCGGTGACGTGTGCATCATCATCCCGATGGACCCGAGCGCCAGCATCCCGCTCCGCACGCCTGTCAACGTCAAGATGTGAACACACACACGTGTGTGTGTGTGTGTGTGTGTGTGTGTGTGTGTGTGTGTGTGTGTGTGTGTGTGTGTGTGTGTGTGTGTGTGTGTGCGATGAAGTGTAATTTGAATGAACAGCAAAGAGTACGGGGAGGCAATCATGCAGTGCACTCCATTCCACCCATGCTCCACCACAGGCACTCAGAGGCATAACGTACCACCACGTTCGCACCTTGTGAGAGACTTGATGTGATGGTCTTCTGGAGGAGGAGGCAGTCTGCGCTGAGCCTGTTGGTCAGCTCGCCGGTCGGGGTGACGTCGAAGAAGGAGGTCTGGCGTCGCATCAGCGCCTCAAAGACAGACTGGCGCAACCTGGAGCGAGTTGATTGCATGGACAAAGAAAGGGGCGTGGGGACACACCCGCGCGCATGAGTCACATACGCACAGGCGCACACACACACACACACACACACACACACACACACACACACACACACATACATACACACATACACACAGACGCACAAACACACACACACATGCACAAACACATACACATACACACATACATACACACACATATACACACACAATCATACCATCACACACCATCGCAGTCATATCCTTGCTAACCCTCGCTACCTGGCTGAGATGCGCTCGCCAGCGACCAGCTGCATGGCCAGCCGACTCAACATCATGACGGCCTGTGCCCCGAAGAGGCCAAGCAGCCCAAAGGAGAGGGTGCTGGTGGAGACAGAGGCGACTGGATCAAGCGCAATGTCCAGTACAACACCCATCAGCTTCGGCAGCGCGAGCGTGATGCTGGATGATCCCACAAGCAAGCCGAGCGACCCTAGCAGCAGCGCCTTCTCGTGCTGCGCCAACTCAAGGATCCTGTGAGCAGATGGAGGGGGCAGCCAGCACCGCAAGCATTAATGGATCACCGTGACAAGGAGCACGAAGAGCACAAGGTGCACATAGAGTGCAAGAATCACAACAAGTGCAACAACAGTGCGCGACACATGCACACACACACACGCACGCACACACACACATACACACACACACACACTCTCTCTCTCTCTCACTCTCACGCACATGCACACACAAACAGACACACATACACACACACACGCACACACATACACACCGCTTGAACTGAGAGACTTTGGATGGC